CTTTTTGAATGCATGATTTTTTTTTTATCTGTTTTGTTTTTCATCAGTCTCCCAAAGCCCTCAATCCAAAAGTCTGGCAGGAGAAAGTGTGGTTCAGGTAGGATAATAGTAAAGGAAAACAGGGTAGGCTTAAATATCAGCTGGGTTTGCATTACTAGATCTTCATAATATGAATAGCATTACTAGTATTTTGTTTTAACCTGTCTGCATCTTTTATTCTGAGACTTTGTTCATAGACAAACTGTTTGTATTTACAATGTCACCTGTAGAAGTTACCCTATGATATATGATTACCTTATGACAAAACATGTTCTTTTATGAATCATCTGTCACCTTTGTCCTTATGAAAGTGGCATGATGACAAAAGAAATGGAGATTGCATTTTGTTAACTGTTACGGCAAAATTCTAGAGAACGTCTACACATCTCAATGTTTTTGCAGCTATTGAATTCGAAATGACTTGACTTTTTCAAGTAATCCTAGAAAAGGGGGAGAGCATTCCAAATAGACACTGCTGACTCACTCCAAGTTCCCTCAACGAAACTGCACTGTTGTGGCATTAGGAGTGTTCTCACTATCGCTCCCTTCAGTATCAACACACTGGCAAACTGTTGAGGTATTTCATGCGGTGATTGGTTTTACTGATAGGATATTTTGAACTTTCAAAAGACAACATTTTTTTTGTTTGTTTATAATTATTAGATGTAGTTTTTTGTTTTTTGACCTGCATGCTTTGCTTAATTGTGCCCTTAAATCAATGCAGTTGATGTATATTTATTTCCTATATAATTTCAATGTTTGTAGTTTTTTTATTTTTTTATTTAATTTTTATTTTTTTGTAGACTAACCATAGGACGTATCTGTAGGACAGGTCTAATCAGTCCCTTCTTAGTCTCGTCCAGAGTAATCATGGTCTGATGCTCAGGAAGTTATGTGTCAGGGCTCAACCAATGGAAGGGAATTTATGAAGCAAAAAAGAAGAGTAGCAAAGCATATCAGGAATGAAGAAACAAGATGAATGCTTCCGTTTCATTATTTAAATAAAAATGTCATTCATTCACCAAAGTGAAATCGTCATTGTCACATTGATTACCGGGAAACAGTGGCAAACCTGGCAGGTCTAATGTGTGTATGTAAACCTGACTTTTTATGTAATAATATCATCTGACTTTAAGAATATTGTCTAGATTTAAAGGGATGGTTCACTCCCAAAAAAGAAAGAAATTTGTCATTAGTTACTCACTCATGTCGTTCCAAATTTTTGTTCATCATTGAAACACAAGTGCAGCTATTTGTAATGAAATTTCTGTCCCTCCATTGAAAGTCACTTCCACCAAGACATTTAACACTTGAAAAGGTCCTAAATAGTTTTTAAAAGTAATGCAAGTATTCTAAAGAGACATGATTGCTTTGACATTAACAGATTTCATTTATCCTTTTATTCACATATAAACATTGATCAGTGCACATACATAAAGAACATCCAATATGGTAAACAAAAGCTCAACTGTGCATGCTTGATGCGTGAGAATGAAGCTTGTGTGTCAAGCAAGCATATTTGAGCTTCTGTTTCCCAGGATTTTTAATGGAGGGACAGAAATATCTCAGGTTTCGTTAAGATGTCATCATTTGTGTTTCGAAGATAAACAAAAGGTTTGTAACGACATGAGGGTGATTCTTCAATGATTTTAGCAAATGGCTGCAATATAACAGAGTGAAAAATGTAAGGGGGTCTGAATACTTTCCGTACCCACTGTATGTTCAGCTATTCTTTTTAATAGTTAACTTTTAACCGTTTTTGAATTTTTCAGGTCATCAGTCATAAAAGCTCTGTAAATATTGGTCAAAGATTCAGAGATTTACTTTTAATTTCACCAAGCTGATTGATTACTCACTGAAAACTCCCACAGATCATGTTTTATTATATCTAAGTGTGTGTGTTATTTACTTTTTATTTTTTTAAATGAGTCTTCCCATTAACACCATTATATTGGTCATTCAGACTGATTTGTGAATGCACACGAACACAAGAGGCGGGATTTATCGCATGAACCAATCACAGCCAAATATAACCAGTCACATCCAATCATATCGCGATGGAGGCATTGCCTCATCTTACGTGACTTTCCACCATTCATTCTCAATTACCCCCCACCAAACTCACGGCACGGTTTAGGGGGTCTGTTAAAACTGAATGGGCTCAGGGGAGGCGAGAGAGACACGGACTCCTGCTGTAACAATTTGCTATTTCGTTAGATTACCTGATACAAACTTCATTTGTCATTCAGTAAAGTAATGTTTACCAAGAGTTGTGATATAAAGACTGTAATATGTGTGTATATATACAGAGTTGTAATATAATTTATAATATAAATACCTATTTATATACAGATTTAAAACCCATACATTTTGAGGTCATAAGCAGCAAAAGGAACAAATTAATCTGAATTTTATTTTTTCCTATGTATATAACAGAAATACTCAAGTCACTCACAGAATCGGGCCCTTAAACAACAGCGGATAGTGTGAACTGTTAATCAATTGTCCATATGATCATTGTGTTTGTTTTGGTAATTATTTCAGATTTCTTGCACCTAAGAGGTTCATTTTCAATTGAGACCTGCCAGGATGGACAACGCACCTTCTGACCCTTGTTACAAATGTCTTTTTGGCATCAGAACATCTGAGAAGCATTCATTTTTTTCTTCAGATTTGGGTAGGAAGAAGTGGGGAGGGTATGTTCAATGAAAAATGTTTGATTTTTACATTATTTGCTGGAAATTGTATTATTTTTAGATGTTTGGTTTTAAACATGTTTTATGTGTTGGAATGAATGTGTGTATGAACTGTTATCTAGTTAGAGATTTAAAAAAACATGTCTGAATGATTATTGTGATTTATTATTTATTTTATTTTATTTGTAATGAATCCATGAATGAACAAACCTTTTCCTGAAGCTGAACGCAAACCCCTTCGTGAATGTCACTCAGTGGTAGCGCATACAGGAAATAAGTTAAATTGTATAGTGCATTTAATGATTGTTACCTAATGATGATTGGGCATTGTTAAAATATATATTATATAATAAATTTAAAATATTTATGAAATGCTTTTTGCACAAATTTCACAGATTCATGAAAATTAGATGTAGGCTTTGGGGGACTGCCAGCATTTTCTTAACAAAGGCTACTGGCCGAAACGTTGGTTAATAAATAGCCTATGCTTAAGTGAGTGTGCAGATGTTCTCTTTCAGCTACTATAATAATAACATGGCGAGTGTCGTACGTCTGGATTTCATTCATCCAACACACATTCACACTATATAGAACATACTTATAGAGTATAGAACAGTTGCAAAGTTTGTTCCTCATCAAATGTAGCATCTTCTTCTCAGACAAATATGGGATTTTTGATGTAGCCATGTGCTTATTATGGGAAGATTTCATTCTCTGCAGATCTACCATCGGAGACAGTCATCTTGGACCATGTGCCTTGAAAACCAGTCACGTTACAGCCTAGACATCACTGAATTGCTTTTGAAGTTGTATGACAGCCAGCTGCTCTGCATTGGATTCAGTAATGTTTTTTTAATGGCAAGTTGGAATGTGGATTGATGTATAGTAGGCTTAAATTGCTTGTTTTATCCCCAGTCAATTTAAATTGCAGTTGGTATAAAATAGTGTTAGGTCAAACAAATCTTCTAATTCAAGCTTTGTTACTTGTAAAAATAAAAATAAAGAGTGCAGCAAAAGCTGGCAGTTACTCAAAACCCATACAGATACACGTGTTTGCTTATAAGAGAGAGCATAACCCACATTTTAAAAGTGATTAAAAAAAACACTCAGCACATTATTGGTGTCTGTAATAAATTCTTTTGGATTGTCTGAGGTTAGTCTGTGTGTATGTACTGTATTGCGCTGCCAAGAGTCACATTTCTGTATTCTCACTGCATTCATGGTAGACGTGCTAGCGGGAGCTCCAGGGGTAAGTGTAAACGCTGTTATTTTGCCCTAGATTTTGTTCATTCATGTATTCTGTTTTCTTCACTGCAATAGAAAATGACTGTTGATGCCAAATACACACTCTTTTCATGTCACATTTTAACCAGGTATGCATCTCACATGACCCGTGAATGCTTTATGGTATCGACGTTGACCATTGGATTAAATCTTTCTCTTAAAGAAGCCAGGATGCTGTTCTCTTTAACTCCCTCTACTGTTTTCGTCTGTGAGTGTTTAAAGAAGAATTTCCTGATCCGGTCTTGCTTGCCTTTTCGCTTCCAAGATGTCCTCTTTCAACCATAAAAATGAAGATTCGTTCATCAAAACCACTTGAGGATATGAGGATATCTTTTTTTTTCTTTCCTTTTAAATCAGAAGATCGGCGTGATATTTTCCTTCAGCTCACAGCTGTGGTCCGACCACAGATTTAAGAAGACCTGTTAAAACGTCTGCATTCTTCTGTCTACAGTTATTGGCTTCTTATTGCCACTGTTTTTACTATGTTTGTTCTGGTGTGGCATTCTTTTACTTGGTTTTGAAAATGATTAAATGAATCATCTGTCCAGTTCATCTGTTGAGTCGAAGAGAATTCTTGGAAAAATCATTTGGCATTGCCAAACCTCTTCTCATTTGTTAGTCATTCTTGTGGAAATCATAATCTCTCCACTTGCCATCGACAAATATTTACCGTTGACTGTACTGTAATAGAAATATAGTTATATGTATTTCTTCATATATCGTGTTCTTTGTGTGTATGCTTCAGTAGTTTTTCATTTTCTATTGCAGTTGAGACCTCACAACATTATAAATGTATTTAAGTGATATAGATGTTCAACGATTTGTCCAATTTTTTTTTACCTTTATTCAAAAACTGCAAAAATAATTTAGAATATGAAATACAGAAAGGGAAACTGTGTGTGTTTGTGTGTGTGTATGAGTGCTTTGCAAACATTTGCCTTAGACTGGCAGTGTTAACACGCTAATTTTATCATTGCGCAGCATGAGAAACGCTAGTGGACTGACCGCGGCTGACCTAGCCCATGCCCAGGGCTTTGAAGAGTGTGCCCAACTCCTTTTCAATGCCCAGAACCAGCGGCTCAATCAGCTTAACGGGTTCTCAAACAATGGCTCTGTGTGTTTTGGGGACCGCAAGCTAATCCAAGAACGGAGCATCCTTAATGGGGTTCCCAGCCGAAAAAGGTCTCTTGATTGCATGGAGTCTAATCTAATTAAAAAGGCCAGAACAGATGGTAAGTCTTGACTGAAAATTTAAAGACATTTGTATGATGAACAGTTTTGATACTGCGTTGGGTCGCCACTTGTTAACGTGAACGGGTCATTGCAGATATCGGTTATCAGCCGATGAATGGAGTAAACGGATCCAACGGAGAAGACCTGATGGAGAACATGCACATGGAGTTTGGCGAAGCACTGAGTACCCCAGGTGGGAACCGACCCTTAAATGGATCCCTGCCTCTGGGTTCCAATGGCTACATCAGTCCAGAGCAGGACCGGGCTGTCCGAATGGAGAGCTCGTCCTCTCCAGTCCACAAAGAGTCAGAGATCTTCACCGTGACCTCAATGCAGATACCATGTCGTTGCACTAACTCCTATGCCTATTTGTAGGAGCCTTTGCCATGGCTAAATTTAAGCTCTTTTGGTGATGTGTCTGGGAGGGAAAATAGTTTAATTTGGCACATATCGTATGTATAAAGCATTTGATCATAAGTTGCTCATACCACTCCTTTTATCTTTTGGTGGTATGAACTTTGTTTTAAACTGTGTTTTGCTCAATAGGAGCAAATGTTGAGTTCTGTTTTTTGCACAATAACTTCCCTGAATGCCATTTTAATTTTTTTATTCTGATTCTAATGCATTCCAAGAGCAATTAAATGATTTAGATGTTTTTCCTTCTCTCTAAAGTAGTTGCGTCATGTAATGAGGCTGTTTTATGCCCTGAAATCTATACTTGTAAAGTATGTCAGTGTTTTTTTTTGTTTCTCAGTCTTAGTACGACACTGATTTTGCAGTGAATTGCATTTGCCCAGCCAAATTTCTGACCTTGAGTTTTGTAACGTTGGATTTTGGTTTAGGAAGTTGGTTAATACTTTGCATATGAGTGACCCATATTATGTTCCTGTTAAGTAGCAAAAAAAACAAAAACATGATTCCAGGTTAATGTGTGTGTGTAGGTGTGTATATATATATATATATACACACATGTTGAAAATATAAAATATTGTGCATTTTATTTTCCTTTTTTTAAATTTCTTAAACATTTAATTCTCTTGTTCTGCCAAAGCATATCTTATCATGAATGTATAAAGTACATCTACAGACCTTCGCTGTCAGCTTTCATATGTGTGTTCTTGTAAGGAAGTCTAGGTGCTATTCAGTCACTTCTTTAATCTTTTTGACTAAATTAGGTTGTAGTTCTTCTTTCTTTCTGTTGCTGTTATTGCAGTGTTTGTTGAAGAGGGTCTGTTGTTAGATTTATTGTATCAACAATCAAGTTTTAGTCAGGTTATTGTATGAGGGTAAAAGTATTTTTTCCAGCTAATGTTTTGCATAGCATTTCATATGTAGTGTAGAAAATATTTGCTAAACTAATTAAGTATGATAAGAGCTATGTATTGAGACAAAGGTGATTCTTTGATTACACTGACTTTCTATAAATTAATATACAAATCATCCTTTCAAACAGAACAAATGGCAGAAAGTTTGCATTGCATATAGATTAACGCATGATTTCCTACTCAGAATGACAAAGGACGTCTTATTATAAGTGCACATTAAAACACCGGCTATGTGTGACACTGAGATTGAGATATTGAGATAAAAATACTGTTCATGTAAAGTAACAGGATGCCTAAGATGGATGCAAAATGTAATTTCTATACTCATTAAATGTTCTCATTTAACAATCAGCGCTGACTCTTGAATTTGTACATATGAATAGTTTGTAAGAGCATGTTAGCAAAACTGAAACCACTTGCAAGTGTTCATTTAATACTGTTTTTCATAGATTTAAATGTAGCACACATGTACATCATCAACATGTATTGGTGGTTTACTTCATTAACCACTGAACTATTTTGCTGCTTTTACACTTAACATAAATGAGATTAAGAATTAGCCTAATCCCTGTTATTTAAATGTAATAAATATGAAATCATAAGGCAAAATGTTTAATGTTGAAGCTAATGTGTGGCAGTGTGCCAGTGCTATGTTTTTGTAGAGCTGAGCAATATGGACTTTAATCTCGGGTTCAGATTATGTAAACCGAGCTTGATGGGTGATTTTGAAAACCCTAAACTGAACCATTTACAGAATATCTGTTAAATGCCCACAAAAGGATATTAGCGATGCAAAATTCAAAACTTATTGGAAATTGTTGCGCAAAACAAAAACATTCAGTTAAGAATGAAGGAGGCATTTTTAACTTTCTTTAATTCATTTATAATTCATGTGTTCTCTTTAACAGCAGGACTCCCATTAAACGGACATTGCCATCTTGTGCAGCACCTCAATGGAGGTGGCCTGATGCACGGGAACGTAAATGGGAATACAACCAAGGTTGAGAGTGGTGATCATATTGGGAATGTGGGTGTCTCCTCACATCTTGGTTACTTTGACAATGGCCTTCATTTTGGGCATCATAATGGCTTGGGAGATACGGCTGAGAACATGGAGGACGCCAGCAGTCAGATAGAGCACCGCAAGTCAGTCAGTGTAGAGCAGCAGTATGACTTCAACACCATGCACCTCTACCATGGGTGTTAGGACGTCCCGTCCAGACTCGTATGCCTTTATATATCCATATAGGATGTGCTGAATTGCTTTAAGTCCATATCCTTTGAAATGGACACTGTATTTGTATTTGTGTTGTAAAAAAAAAAAAGAGCAGTTCTTTTTTGAATTTCTAATTTGGGTCATTTCATTCAGTCATTTTTGATGCATTTGTAAGGACATTTATCAATTGTGCCTGCATAAAATATAATTGTGTATTGGCATCTCTTTCTTATATAGTAGTTAGAGCTGTGTGTGAATAAAATGGTTTGACTGAATCATTTGTATGTTTTGTTAACTCACAACCTCCACCTTATTTATATGTTTTCTTGTAGTATGTATCGTAGTGTGTAGGCTAGTATATAGTGAGGATTGGGTTTTTATTGGTTTTACTGACCTGTACATATTTGGTTGTATTTTGTGATCTACCCACTTCTAAACTAGCCTACCCTCTTATAAATTAGAAAGTATCAATATCTAACTTCCCTCCTCCTGATTATTATGGAATATATCGTTTAGAAAGTGAATAAAAACTGAACAGATATGAAATATCTTTCGGGTCAAAGTGCAGTAGGGTCGTCGTCTCTAGCACTTCCCGCGCTTCGCCGCTAGGCGGACACTGACCTCACTCCTCCCACAGAAACCTCTTCCTCCACCTGAGACCGTACCAACGGCTAGAAAATAGGGGGATGTCGGCCATTTACGTAGTCGGAGACGAACATTTCAGGCGAATCGTTGGATTATTTCTCTTAAACCATAAAGATTTCAAACGAATTGCGGAAATATTAATCATTATGTCTTTAAAAACAAAACATAAACTGTATTTATATACATTTTTTAATTTTCAGTCGCAAACACCCCCCTGTGTGGGACAGATGGTATAGCCGTGTCTAGTGAAAAGACGTATTTTACTCAGAAAGAAATATTAATCATCAAGTGTTGTGACGTACACGGTTATTTTAGGATTTATTATTATTAGAGCTCTAAAAATAATCGCTGACGGCTTTTTAGTGTAGTTAAAGATGTCTACTCCAGCTAGAAGGCGACTCATGCGAGATTTTAAGCGGTGAGTAGCTGTAAAATGGTAGATGTGTTTGGTTTGGTGGAATAGCTGCTAGCTAGGCTAGTTAGCTTCATATCACCCAGTTCCGTTGCCGATTATTAAACACGATATAAACGATTAAAATACGCCATTTAATAATGTGCGTATCGTTTTTAGTCTGTCGGGAGTATCACATTGCCTGTTTACATTGTGGGTATTCATAGAAACTCTACATTTATATTAGCTTATGAGCTAGCTGGCTAGTGTGAGCCGGTTAGAGAAGATATTCAAGCTTGCCTTGTCTGAATGTGATTATGATTACAATTTTAGCCAATATCTTTGTATTTCTAGTCATTTTCATAAGGTAACCAGAAGCCACACCTTGTCGTGTAATAATCCACGGTTTTGGAACCGAATGAATGTGACTGACACTGAAATACAGTGATGATTGAGTGTTATGTGGTGGTCCCGCAGGCTCCAGGAGGATCCTCCAGCCGGCGTCAGTGGCGCTCCGTCGGAGAACAACATCATGGTGTGGAATGCAGTTATATTCGGGTAAGAAGAGCGCAAAGCCGACTGATCGAGTCGAGTCTGCGCCAACCAGCAGCGTGCTGTAGCAGGGTTCCCACGGTCGTGGAAAACCTCCAAATATGAGGGGATTATAAAATCGACATTTACAGACCTGTAAATCTTATGGAAATTAATGATATACTTAAATATTATATATTTCAAATGCAATTTAATGTGCAAAGGTTTGGGGTTGCTAAAATTATTGAATAAGTTAATACTTTTATGTAGCAAAGACACAGTGGGGGGAGTGAATAACCAGCACTCTCTTCCACCTTCAATGCCACGACTGAGGTGAGACCCTTGAGCAGGACGCCTAACCCCCAACTGCTGCCCACTACTGTGTGTGTGTGTGCGCGCACTTGGATGGGTTAATTGCGGAGCACAAATTCTGAGTATGGGACACCATACTTGGATGCACGTCACATCACTTTCACTTTTCACATTAAACTGATCTAAAGTGACATTAAAGACATTTGCCCCCGGTTTCACAGCAGGGCTCACAAAATGTCTAAATCCCTGGTAGCCCTTCGGGCAGGCATTCTTCAGATTTTAGTAGCCCAAAAATGAATTGAACTAGCCCGAATAAAAGAGATTTGTATTTTTTCTTCAAATAACAAGTCAAGAGAGTAGGGGTGCAACGGATCACAAATCTCACGGTTCGGATTATATTACATTATCATATCACATTCTGAGTCTCACTTTGTCAGATGAGCAAAATAAATATGGTTCTTTATTATTTATGTAACACTTATTTAAAGAACAATTTACCACTTCGATACCACAGCAAAAACTAGTAGCATATAGGGATGTAACTATTCACTCAACTCACGACGTGATATGATTCACGATACTGATTTCACAATACAAATTTCTCACAATTGCTCTAACAAACTTAGATTTAAGACAGATTTAAAAAAAAATGTGTCCTTTTGTTATTTCTCAGACCAAAAGGCTGCACATTACTTTGTGAAAATGTCAAACAATATACTAACTTGAAAATTTAAAACAAATCCCAAATCAAACAAATAAATAATAATAATAAAGAAGAAATGTCTCCATGCAAGTAAACTAAGGTTTTGCCTGTGTATTTTAACCACGATCCAAACAAAGATGCTGCGTACATGTTATTTAGATTAAAAAAATTTGAAACAAAAACAAAATGGTCTGACTTTAGCTTTGTGATACTACATAAAACTTCTGAACGAAACAAAAACAGCAGACAGGCTGAATGAGACGCAAATGTCACTCTCTGACAGCAGGTGGCGCTTAAACAGCAGGTATATTTATAGGCTGCTGCCCCTTTAAGACCGAATGCACGGATCCAAATATAATGATGCACTTGAGATTTCTTTCTCCACTGTTTACGTTCATTTAAGACATGAAAATACTATGTAGAATGAAGCAGGGTGTTCTTTCAAGCGAAAGAGGAGTCAATTCTCTGTTCGTGCTCTGCCTGAAACGCTGCTCTGTATGTGTGCGCTTTGAGCACCGAACTGAATTCTTCATGCGCATGAATGGGTTAAAACGCTTGAACGTTTAAATTGGTAAGACTTAGAAACACGTGTAAATGATAAACTATGATCCATTTCACCCCTACAATCGAGTGAACAACGCGAATTAATGAGGGGATTTTATTTCACTATTCAAGATAGCCCGTCTGGCAGGGCAGTGGTACATTTTGGTAGCCCGACTGGAAAACACAATAGCCCCGGGACGTCGGGCTAGCGATTTTGCGAGCCTTGCACAGACAAGGCTTAAGCCTAGTCCCAGACTAAAATGTAAATCTGAGCTGTCAACTGAAAGAAACTTGCACTGACTGATCTTAAAATATGTCGGTGCCTTTGTTTTGTCTCAAGATGCACACCAGTAATGTGTTTTCTAAGGCATGCTTATGAAAAATTACTTAAGTGTCCTAATTGAACTATGGCCTAATCCTGGCTTAGTCTAAGCCCTGTCTGTGAAACCAGGCCTTAGAATGTTACAAAACATTTTTATTACAAATAAATGCTGTTGTTTTTACACAAAGAACCTTGAAGAATGATTTATCACAGTTTCCACAAAAATATGAATTATGAACTTGTCACCACTTCAAAAAGGAAAGGTATGCAAGCTTTTTCGTTAGTTGGAAACCGCATTGGTCTTAAAATTCAGCTTAAGTCATTAAATTAAAGTGATTATAAATTATTAATCTTGTTTGTAATTAATGACGTCAAACTTTAAATTCGTTGGCGTTTGCCTCTCAAAACAGTGCTTTAGTGTCAAGTATCCCTCTACGTAAATCAATAAATGGAATTGTACCACGGAAACCACAGTTTTATCGATTAGTGATGTTTCTCTTGCACCCAAAGTCCAAGTTACAGTGGGTACGGAAAGTATTCAGACCCCCTTAAATGTTTCAACCGCTGGTGTAGAACCATCTCAAGGATGATCAGAAGAAATGGACAGCACCCGAGTTAAATATATGTCACAGCAAAGGGTCTGAATACTTAGGACCATGTGATATTTCAGTTTTTCTTTTTTAATAAATCTGCAAAAATGTCAACAATTCTGTGTTTTTCTGTCAATATGGGGTGCTGTGTGTACATTAATGAGGGAAAAAAATGAACTTAAATGATTTTAGCAAATGGCTGCAATATAACAGAGTGAAAAATTTAAGGGGGTCTGAATACTTTCCGTACCCCACTGTATGTTGTCAAAATGTCCCCAGTATGAGTTTTTATATTTATAACAAACGATATTTAGTAATATTTTCAGCGTGGCTGCCAACAGTTCCGTTCAGCCCACAGCTAAAGAGATACACGCATCTCTAAGCAACACACTGAACGAATCGGTTGAGTGTTTCAGTGGCCCATTCTTGCTTGTTCATGAACGAATCAACTGTTTAGAATGAATTCAATGAACGCTTCTGTGATAAAGCAGTGATTTGCTACCACTTACTGGTGGCATAGAAGGCACAATATATGTAAAAAAAATTATTAAAATATCTAAAAACCACTAGAACAGTGACAGATATTTTGCTGACTTGTGTACTTGCATTATCCCAAACTTTTTAAAGAATGTTTAAATCCAGAAAAATAAGCAATTTAACTAGTGACACGGACTGTGTCCATAGTGTTATTGTGTCGCCTGCCAATGATGTCACAAACCCCTCGATTTCCGGTTTTGTTTTGTAGAAAACATGGAAACACCAAACATGCTTTAATATGTTGTGCGTTTTAATTGGGTCGACCGATAGTGAATTTTACCGATAGCTAGGTTGGACCACACTGGCCGATACATATTAATCAACCGATAGTTTTTAAAATGGTAAACGGAAACTAAAACAGAGCTTTACTGTTTTTAAAAAAGCAGTAGCAGTACTGAACCATACTTTGTAAATGAATAAACATATTAATATTATTATATTGATCATTAAAGTTATTTCATAGTTTACTAATGTTAAAAAATAAACTTTAAAATGTAAAAATATAGCCTATTAGTAATAGTAAATGTTGAAATGAACACACTAGGAACAATACTTTTCATTAATATTATAAAAG